GCGGCCCATCTGCTTTCCCAAAGATTCACAGCCTGGGAACGCACTGGCGCAGTTCTGCTCTGAACGCACTGGTGCAGTTCTGCTCTGACCGGTAGGGGCGCTATTGAGGCGGAACCGGCTTGACGGCATGGATTTGGCTTCAAATAGGTGAATGGATTTGAAAATGAGCCGGATTGCATGGAGAGCCTCCGGGGCCAGCTCAGGGAGCCTCAGCCCTTTGCCTTAACACAGGCACCTCGATGGGGCTCTCCATGCCCAGGGAGCCTCTGTGGGTGATCATGCACCCCTGGGGCAGTTTGTTGGGAAGAAATGTCCACTCGTCAGACTGACTTGGAGCCAGGTGGGCCTTCCTAGGGGTGGACGTGAGACAGGGTGGGTCCAGGGTCTCTTGCCAAGCGGAGTGTCAGACAAGGTGGAATCAGTGGGCTTCCCTGAGGCCACAGCCAGCCCTGGGCTGGGCTGGGGGTGGGAGGGCTCAGATCAGGGACCCTGGGACTCCAGAGGTGAGGAGGGAGCCGAGGCTTCCCTTTCAGGCCACGGAGAATAGCCCAGGGGAGGTCCAGGTGGATGCAGCTCTTGGGGCAGGGTGGGCAGGGCCAGTTCCTTTGTTTCTCCTACTCTCCCAGTGCCCCCCAGCATCCGGGAAGACGGGCGCAAGACCAACGTGTCGGGCATGGCTGGGCAGTCGCTGACACTGGACTGTGACGCCAAGGGCTTTCCTGCCCCCGAGATCGAGTGGCTCAAGGATGGACAGCTGGTGGGTGACCCCTGCTCTGCTCAGGACAGACAGGCCGTGGAGGGGCGGGTATGTGTGCTCTGTCTAGAGGAAGGGTCTTCCGGGCAGAGTTCTCTCGCGCTCCATGATGGGACAGCGAGACTGTGGCGGGTGTCCCTAGGGATTATGGTCTCATGATGCAATCTGGGGGTCCGCATGACGGAGAGGGCAGTGCACTGGGGTTCTGGTCATCTCACCACAGTAGGGCCCTGGACAAGTCCTTGGCCTTCCCTGCCCTCAGTTTCCTCGTCCCTAAGTCCGGAGGCTCACTAGCTCCCTCTGGCCTCGTCCCAGATCCCTGAGGCTGGCAGCCACCACCTTCCGGATGGGGCCCGGTCCCTCCACTTCCCCAGGGTCCAGGAGAGCGATGCTGGCCTCTACTCCTGCCGAGCCCAGAACCAGGCAGGCACCGCCCAGAAGGACTTTGAGCTCCTGGTTCTCAGTGAGTATACTGGGGGGCGGCGGGTGGGGCATAAGGGGGCGCTGATGGATTGGCTAGGGGTCTTGCACTTTCCTTTTGTGTGAGTTCGACTAACTGTTTGCACTGATCACCTACTGTGCGCTAGGCCTTGTGCTGAGCGAGGGGTGGGGGGGTGGGGGTAGTGATTGGCAGACTCAGGCCCCATCCTCATAGAGCTAGGAGCTCTGGGCAAGGCATCAGACAAGGGAACAGTTAGTCAAGTCATTGCCATTGTGTTAGCACCAGGAAAGGGGTGCAGTGCTAGGGACCCGGTCCAGGTTAGGGGTCTGGGGGTGCTCCTTGAAGGACGAAGAGGTTCCAGGCAACCCCTCTACCCTTCAGAGACCTCTTGGAGGAGGGGCTTAACGGCCTGAGGATTTTCACCTCTCCCCCTGTTGCCCCCTAGTCCCACCTTCTGTGCGCGGAGCTGGGCCCACCCACGAGGTGCTGGGACTGGCTGGTGGGCAGGTGGAGCTGGAGTGCCGAACGTCAGGGGTTCCCGTACCCCAGGTGGAATGGACCAAGGACGGGCAGTGAGTCTCCCCCCCCCCCGCCCCGGTGGGTGGCATGGGGTGGTGCCCAGCCCGGTGGGTTGGGTGGGGGACACTGAGAGGCTGGACCCTGGGGGAGGGGAGCCTGGGAGGCATTGCTCCTGCCTCTCAGTACTGAGCAGAGTCAGGCCCCTTCACCAGCGCCCTACGGTGACCCAGGCCAGACCTGCTCTCATCTCAGCAGGTTGTCCCTCCTCCTCCTCCATCTACATTTCTCTCTCCTTTCTTATTGAGGTGAAGTTCGTGTAGTATAAAGTTGGCCGTGTGAAAGCGTACGCTTCTCCACGCTTGCCATGCTGACCAGCCTTCATTGCTGTCTAGTCCAGGAACACCTCTGTGCCCCCCAAGGAAACCGCAACCCCCTAGCAGTCACTCACCACTGTCTCAGTGGGGGGTCGACCACTAAGGATCTGCCCTTCCAGACATTTCATCTGGAGTGGGTTATGCACGTGGCTCCTCGTGTCTGACTGGTTTCACTTAGCACCGTGTGTTATCGGTCCACCCAGGCTGTGGCATGGGCCAGGGAGGCATTCCTTTTTGACAGCCGAGTAATACTCCACTGACAGGCTTTCCCACCTTCCACTTCTCTGGTCCTCCACTGAAGGACTTTGGGGAGGGCTCCACCTTCGGGCGCTTGTGGGTCATCTGGCCTTCTTTTTAACATGCTTCTCCATTACTGCTGAGATAGCATGGGAGTGGAGGTCTGCTGAATGCAGAGAGCCCGGGTGACAGAGCGGAACTCCCCGGGCTTTCCCAGGCTGCAGTCTCCATGGAAACCGGTTGCCAGGTCTTTTCTTGTGCAGAGCAGCTGGATGGTGTGAACCGCCAACCTTTTGGCGAACAGCTGAGCACTTGGCTGTTGTGCCACCAGGGCTCCTGGGTGGGGCTATGGGCATCCTGCTGAGGCAGAAACCCAGGCACAGGAGGGCTAGGCGGACAGCTCGCAGTGGCCCAGAGTGGGCAGTCGAGGCAGGGTTGCACGGCCCCTGCTTCCCACACAGGCGCTCTCCTGAGCCTCTCAGATGCTCTGTAACGGAGCCAGGGGTTCCTGAAACTCAGCTGTTTGAGGACCCTCTGGGACACGTACACAGGCCGGCTGCCATGTAGCCTAGCCGGCTCAGTGACAACTTTCAAGAGTGGGACCAGCCCCCTGCTCGAATGCCAGGCTTAGGAGGGTCACTCGGCCTCAAGTTGGGATGGAGGCCAACCTGGGTCTCAGCAGGCAGGCCTGTGCCATGCCCTCAAACTCAGCCATGGTGACTATCCAGTTGATAGGGGTGAACAAACCCCACTGCAAGTCAGTCTCATAACGTTTCTACCACTGGATACACTCAGCAGGGGGTTCACACAGGAGCCTTTGCATTTTTGGTCCAGGACTGGGATGTGGGGACTAGGTGTGTGCACGCCGCATGGCTGCACCTGAGAAGTCTCGCTGGCCTGGCCCTGTCAGGCCTGGGCCCTGGCTTGCTGGCTCAGGGACCACCCACTCCATGCAGTTCCCTGCTTGGCCAGGGAGGGCGGCAGAGTTCCAGGTGTGTTAGGCTCCCTTCAGGGCAGCCGAGTGGCAGCCAGTCCCTGCCTCCCGGACAGTATGCTCCCGACTCTCCGTCTCCTCAGGCCCATTGTCTTGGGAGACCCTCACATCCAGCTCGAGGAGGGCGGCCAGCTTCTCCGGATCATCAGAAGCCACCTGGGGGATGAGGGCCGGTACCAGTGCTTGGCCTTCAGCGCAGCTGGCCAGCAGGCTAAGGACTTCCAGCTCAGAGTACACTGTGAGCTCCGCTCTGCCCCACCCCTCCCCTCCCCTCCCTCCTGGAGCCTGCCCCCACCACTGCCTCAGAGGCAGGATGACAGCACAAGGGGGCCCCAAGGGCGAGCCCCGGTCCAGGGAAGCCAGGATGGGGGGACTAGTGGGAATTCCGACCAGTCACAGTCACCTCTATGCCCGAAGCACACATTTTACTATTTCTGACTCCACTCGGATGGTTTGAAACGCTTTTTCTTTAATGCAAATCACTGTACACAAAAAGTCATTTATTTCCAGTGACATTTAGTATTCCAGCCGTCAGTGGAAGACCAAGGCCACTGATATGAAGGGAAAACCCCACTGCCGTCATCATATAGGACGACCCTATAGGACAGAGTAGAACTGCTCCCCAGGGTTCCTGAGACTGTGGCTCTTTATGGGAGTGGACGGCTTATCCTTCTCCTCAGAGTGGCTGGGGGGTTTGAACCAAAGGCCTTCCGATGAGCAGTACAATGCTTAATCCACTACACCACCAGGCATGAATGGAAAGGAACAGAAAGCAAATGCCTGCAGAGGGTGCTGAGCCCATGCCTGTGAACTTGGGAGAGAAGAAAGTGCTAGACAGGTTAAGCGCATAGACCAGGTGGGGCCCTCGCCCGAGTCACCCTCAGGTAGAAGGGTGTTGGGAACAAGCATCACTTCTCTCTTCTGAGCTATGCGATTCACACCTTCCCCAAATGAGGGGCCACCTAAAGTCATCATGGGGGCCAGCAGTATTGTGCCACCTGTCCTGTGGGAAGCCCCGATCTAGCCCACCCCCTCACTTTACAGATGAGGAAACTGAGGCCCAGAGAGGGGAAGTGACCTACCTTGGGTTATACAGTGAGTTAGAGGCAGAGTGGGATCCAGACCCCCGCCCCCTTCCCAGCCTGCCGCATGTCCTGTGATGACTGGCTGTGCACCCCATGTCAGCATGCCCCTGAGCTGGCCCTCCTGTCTGTCCCCCAGATCCCCACTCTCCCCACCTCCCGCACCTTCCCCGCCCCCGTGGTGGAAGTCCTGGGTGTGGGACAGTGCCACCAGCACTGGACTATGCATGCCACTCTAGGGGAGGACACCAGCCGCTGCTGGGGTCCTCTGTGACTGTCCCCTCTCCGTTGTCCTTCTCAGCTCGCCCCACCATCTGGGGCGCCAATGAGACCAGCGAGGTGGCTGTCATGGAGGGCCACCCGGTGCGGTTCCTCTGTGAGGCCCGGGGAGACCCTCCTCCTGACATTACATGGCTCAAGGATGGGACCCCACTTCCCATCAGCACCGAGGCCGTCTCCAGCAGGGGGGGCCGGCAGCTGCAGCTGGCAACGACCCGGGACTCAGACGCCGGTGTCTACACCTGCCAGGCCAGCAACGCTGCGGGGACAGCAGAGAAGACCACCAGGCTGGAAGTCTTTGGTGAGTGGGCCAGGCTTGCACCCGCCAGTGTTGATGGTCAGGTCAGCTGGGGTGGCCAGGAGCAGGGACTCTTGGCTGCGGTGGCCTCCACCAATTCCCAAAGGACAGTGAGGGGCTGCCGCTTTGAGGGGCCAGAGGCAAAGAGGATAGGAGGACTATTGGGTTGTCCTGGGAGAGGGTCATCTAAACTCAACCTCATATCGGGAGGGAAACTGACAAGGGCTTGTCCAGGGGAGTCTAACCTCCAGGTCTCCTCCACTCATGATTTGGGGCTTATCATTGAGCCACATGCAGGCCCTCATGACCA